GAAAAGTTTCATACAACCCCCTCTTCACAACTACTTTTCCCCCCAAACAACACCGTCTAGCGGCGAGCGGGGTATATACCTACCATAAAACCGTAAAATTTTTCTATATTTCCCTTCATTCATCGCTACATATTCTAGGGGGGTATATACGCACGTTGTAGCAACGTAGGGTTGACCCTGGGTTGAACGTCCCCCCATCCATGACGCTCAATGACGTCATCAAAGCCGCTCCGCCTTCCAGCCTTCGTACGCACTACCTTTAAATGCTGATTTATAGGCAACCAAATCGACATTAACTATGCGTTTGCCTTGATCGTCGTACCTAATCACCTGTCGGAACAATGAACTGGAAGAGCACCACGGCTCTTTTCTGTATTTATGGAATTGTGAAGGAATTCCGGCCTGCTACTCCTTTCCTAACTCCGTTCCTCATTTCAAACTATAAAAATCTCACACTGGATGAAGTCTATGGACAGATTTTCCCGTTTTGGACCTATTCTTACATGTTTTTTCTAGTGAGTTTTTTGCAATACCACATTATTGATTTCCCACAAAGTTGGTAAATTCTACACAATTTGCTTTGCAGGTACCTGTATTTATTTTGACGGATTTACTCCGGTATAAACCTATCATCGTGCTCGAGGGAGCTTGCCTTTCGATAACATGGGCACTCCTGGTTTGGGGTGAAGGCGTACGGCAGATGCAGCTGATGCAGATATTCTTCGGTGAAAACTCTAGTAAACTACTCAAAATAGAAATTCGACTCTATTCTCCCGGGATATGCTTTTACCACAATAATTTTTTCGAGCCGTCTGAGTATTTGGTCGCCTTTTCGGCCCACTGGTTACTGGGCCAGCCGGCGTTTGTGAGCCATCCTCATTGTTTTTTCTTCAAACATTAGTTTTAGGTCTTGCGTCAGCAGCCGAAGTTGCTTACTATTCATATATGTATGCTGTTGTGGAGGAAGAACATTATCGTAAAGTAACTTCATATATTCGAAGTGCTGCTCTTGTAGGGAAACTCTTAGGATTTCGGTTTAGCTCAAGTGTTGGTTTCAACGGGCGTAGGATCATATCTGCTTTTGAATCAGGTTGGAAATTAAGGGTCCGGGTAATCCTATTTAATAGTATTTTCCCGAACTCTTCACCTTTCAGATATCATTAGTAGCCGTTTGTATCGTTTTCTTTATTGCCATTGCACTGCCATCGGTCCCTTCTACGCCTCCTGCTAGTCGAATTCCATGTGAACGCCTAGGTGACCTGACATCTGAAGAAGAATCTCAGAAGGACAGACTGACGTACCTTTTTTGTGCTTTTTCACCGCTATCTTTATGATTGATTGTGATGATCGTTTATTTCTAGGCAGGAAGAAGAAAATAAGAAGGTCGAGAAGGATTTCCGAGCGTATATTTTATCTGTTTTGAAAAGCTTTACCATATTCAAAGAAAATATGACTGTTTTGAAATGGTCTATATGGTGGACTCTGGCAAGCTGTGGTGTTTTCCAGGTGAATTCTCATATTTAGTTCTCTTCTTGCTGAGAAGTTTACATTTTAACCCGAGTATTCAACACTACAGAAAGGCAATGAGAATTTTTCCCAAAGATTTTAAAGGCACAGTCCGCGATCAACTAGGTGTGGGTATCGCACTCGAAGAAGCAAAAGGTGCAAAATGGAATCTTATCAAAGGAAAAAGTAAATTAAACTGATGAAAACGACTAACTCGTTTTCTTGGGTAGCTGCCATATTCACGTAGCAGATAGAGACAGACTTGTTAAGGATTGTTAAGGACAGACTTGGTAAAGTTAGGGAACAGGCGAGTGAGATGAACGAACGTACATTACAGAATTGTTGGAGCGTGGACGCCCCTCACCAGGAGAGGCATTCAACTTCCCATGGAACTTTGAATTAGACCCAGATATATCGATAGAGCTTCAAACGCTGATTACAAATATGGAAACTAAAACTGCAAAATGAACCTGCCAAGGAAGTTGTGAGCAGTCAAAGTTGGCTGGAAGTAAAGCATTACGTGCTAGCCTCCGGGCTTTCAAAGTCGCCGTGGAGTAGTGGTAGTGCTCTCGAAATTTGCATTCCAACGGAAGAGAACTTATGATCTCCGAAGAGCGAGGGCACTACCACTACTCCGCGGCGACTCTGAAAGCCTGGTCCAGCACGGTTCATATGCAACGCTTTACTTCCAGCCAACTTTGACTGCTCACAACTTCCTTGGCAGGTTCATTTTGCAGTTTTAGTTTCCATATTTGTAATCAGCGTTTGAAGCTCTATCGATATATCTGGGTCTCAATTCAAAGTTCCATGGGAAGTTGAATGCCTTCCCCTGGCCAGGGAAAACGCTAGCTAGCGAGCTACAGGAAGACAACCAAGTACTGACGTGGTATGACCTCACCTCCCTCGTCGCACGCTTCCCAGTTGGAGAGACGTAATATCCTCCGCTTGCACACTGCTGCCTTCGTTCTCCATTCATTAGAGAGATCAATCCTGTGAAAACTCGCGAGTTGGTTAGGCTTATTATTTTCTGCTGTATAGAGCTGCTGGTTTTTTGTATGCGGTTGGCTAACGCAGTGATAATGATTTTGACAAATGATCTGTATCCGGATCAATATGCGGATTCCGGGCTAGAAACAATGCAAATTTTTGAGCCTGTTTCGGAAATCCTTCTGGACCTGAAAAGGAAAACTTCTCCTTGGTGTGAAGTCAGCCCAAGAATTTCGACGGAAGCGAACTTCCATTTTTTCTGCATTGAGTTATGTTGGAATTTTTATCAGTTCAGTTCCTATTTTGTTTCAGATGTATAACTACATACAAGCTCTCTGGCTTGAAATGCAGCCCTGATCCGGACAAGGTAGAGAATGGGCTGGTGGAATTCTTAAACACACTACTAGGTAGTTTTTATTATCGTCCTGAACTACGAGCAACTGCGGGCATATGGAAATGAACTGCAGCGTTTTCTTTCGTTTTGACTCTCGAAGTTTGGCATCTTTGGATTACATTTTTTCGTTCATTTATTTTCAACAGTACGTTCCTTTTTTGAGGCAGCGGATGAGAAAACAATAGTGTTAATCAAACTGAATTCGCTAGCATCGGCTAGGTTCATGTCTCTCCTTAGTTTTTCATAAGGATTCCGATTAAAGAAGAAAACAAACAAATCGTAATTCTCGTGGAGCAGGGCAGGAGTTGTACTGGGGCACGTTGGCCTGGGGCAAGTGCTGGCTCTTTGTTGGCCGCGTGGGACAGGTGTTTTTTCCAGAAGTACAGAATAAGCACTAGAAATTCGAAGCCGTATAGGGCACTATTTATATTTTCTTGGCTCCTAATTATGTTTATGTATGAATTATGGAATAAATCTGAACAATCAGGACGCGAAAATGAATCACACGGGTGCGACGCGCGTGCGCGTCGCGCTCTCCCACGCGGCGTGCAAAACTAGGAAATTTGAACAGAAATGTAGCTGTGGGAAGCAATGAGTCACCACTTGTATAGATTTCACACGATTGAGTTTCCTTCAAAATGTTCATCCATTTAGGTGCGATAATAGCATTCCTTGTTCAATTTGCTGCCATCAACTGGACACGATACGAAGGGGTCGCTTTGATTACGTCGTCGGCATTTGTTGCCATCGTTCTTGCTGTTGTTTCACAAACGAAACAGATTCTGGTCGCCTATGTGGGATATATATGCGTCACATCCACGTATCATTTGTTGATTACAGCAGCAAGGTGAAACCTTTGTGAATCCGCTCTTACGGGTCTGTGTTTCCGAGTGCTAGGGTTGAACGTTGGCTTGCACGTAGAGGGCGTTTATCAACTAGTTGGCTGCATGCTGCAGAAATGTAACAGTAGGAGAGTGCACGGTTTCTCGGGACGAACTACACAGGGGTGAGCAGGGGACCGACATTAGGACCGATGTCAGACTTTGCGAATCGAGCGATTCGCTAGCGTCCGCGGTCGCGTTGCGGTACCAGCCAATTGAGTGATTCACTGGCCGCGACGCGACCGCAGACGCTAGCGAATCGCGCGATTCGCAAAGTCTGACATCGGCCTCATTTAGTGGAGATTCTTGCAGTCATTCTCCAATGTGGTTATTACGCTCCCATGTAATGAATCAGTGGCGTTTGTTTCGCCTGCGTGCATGCAGCAGTGCTGAAAAATGGACGATATGTTTGTGTGCCTGAAGCTTGCGCAGAATTGAAGCGATCTTACTATTGTGCTTCGACACTAGTTCTTGCTTCAGCCAATGAGGCAGACCTCAGAGTTCTATGCTCAAGAGATTAGATCGGTAGTGTTGGTAAAAATTAGACTAAATGACACACTTCCAACGCCACCTCCCCTCAAATTTTAGAAGTAAGGCCAAGGGGAGGGAGATGTAGTCCATGCAATTACGGGAAGAGCAGAAGTTTTGAGGATTTCCCTTCATTTTTTCTCCAGCTCCTCGGAAGGTTCAACATCCAACGTTTTCCAGATACATAGCCCTATTTCGCCAAGTACTACGTTCCTCCCCAGAACCACGGAAAAGACCTTATCACTCCCCTCTCCTCTTTTTCTACCCGTCTGATTGGGCTAGATGCATGGCCCATTGAATAGCATGCCCCTTTGCGTATTGGTTTCCGTTTTGCCTGTCTGCTACTTCATTGATTTGCTTTTCACACTAGTCATTTATGGGACGGTGTTTCCTCTAGATTAGCACTGACTGTATTAGATTTTCTTTCCAGACTGTTGCCGTATTTTCATACACATATCCTAAATAGATTGGTCGGTTCCACTTGCGTTCAAAGACAGTGATTGCAATGGAGGGGTAGGGCGGAAAGTCAAGCAATTCGGAAGGCCAGTGGTGAGAAGGTATCATCTAGGGTTCTGTGGTCGGACCAGGGCCAACCCTCCCTTCGCATCACTCCAAGGAGGGGTCGCATTTTTGATTTTGGGAGGGGGAAGGTCGCATTTGGGGTTGAGTAGAGTGAACTACCTCTGGAGAATGCTCGAATGGGGGTCGCAAGAAGGCGTTGCATATGAGGTTTTTTATTGCCAATTCTGGATGAACGTTTCATGAAAGTAGGGCAACTAGGCTAAAAAGGGGATTTTGTCGCCTCATGGTCTCAATGACCCCCCTCCTCCCTCCCTCGCCCCCTCCTTCCCCAATCGAGAGTAGTTTTGAGGCAAATAAGGGCGGAGACAGATGTTTCGACTGGTCTCAGAATCAAATACTATAGATACTACAGAAACAGCCATATTGGTGAGGGTGGTGGTCGGAGTTGGGAGGAGGGGCGTCGTATTGGGTGTCCGCCCTAAGAGTGATGGTTGCGGGGAGTCGCATCGACCCCCCCCCTTGATGTCGCAACATTTTTGGAAAACTGCGAACGCGGCGCTTGACCCTGGGTCGGACCCCTGTCATCGCGATGTTGTGGCCGGACCGTGTCCGAAGACTCTTCCTGAATGAGTTATCAAATCAGAC